AACGCGAGGCGCAGAAAAACGTTTATAACACGCAAAACGTGCACGGGAGCGAGCGATTCCGTGAGTTTCAGAATAATTTGATTTCCTCATAATGTGTTTTCTTTGTAGTCGGTGCAAGAGATTTTTCCCAGGAATAAATACCTTCTTATTGTTTTCACGAGTGAACCTGTCTCGGGGACGAATCCCTCCTAGCACTGCATAATAACAGGACAAGATTGGTTTGTTCTTTGTTTGTTTATTTAGCCTGTGAACAATCTCCTTAGTGGGATGGTATAGGGCGAAAAAGGACAAGCGGGGTAACTTGAGCGCGTTGGATATGTTGTTTTCGCCCCCACCCTACTCAGGAGAATGTTGGCAGGTTATATTTTAGGTTGTTTCCAGTGATATAGCGATTTTAATTTGATTGTCGAAAAGTGATTGGTTTTGCATCAACTACGCTACACGATTGGCTTTAAAAAAACTCGCGCCACTTTTCATCCAATCAGAAGTCAAACCGTGACTCACTCACACGTTTTCCCACGCTTTGCGTCAGCTACGTGTAATTACTTCGAGTTTTGATTGGTTCACTGGAGTGTCTGTGACCTTTGTGATTGGCTAAAGTGATTACATTGGCTTTTGTTTTACGACACTCAGTTGAAAAACGCTCTAACACGGTGTAGTTCGCCTCTCGACCACTTTGAAACGCCAGCAAGAACTTTCCAGGTGGTCAACTGCACCTGAAGCACGAAGCCCGCGTCTGGTCTTGAATTGTAACCATTTTCCAATCTCTAAATGTTAATTCTCCTTACTGACCGTCTTATAATTGGTTGAATGCTGCTGGTGAGAATTCGGAGGTATATCATGATAATTTCCATCATGTGATGATATTATTTTTATTCTCGCTCTCCAGCTACTTAGCAATGCATTCATATTGTTGTGAGAAGTTAGCTCTACATCACAATGAAAGGGTGGTTGAATGGCCAATTAGTAATTAGTGGTGTGTATCTCCAATAGGTCATTTCCGAAGTACTTTGTGCTTGGACTGAAAACATTTCTTTTAGCAGATGCCTTTACACCTTTATGTCCATGCTAATCAANTTTTTTTTTTTTTTTTTTTTTTGAAACTCTGAGGTTGCCTGCTTGCCTGCGAAAGTAAATAACGTTCTTTGAAATAACGTAATCTTCTTTAATGCTAAATTACGTTGTTATACAATAGGCAGATATTTGCCTTTCGTCAAATGTAGTAACATTGGTGTTCAAAATCAATAAAACTCTTAGCTTGTTTTCTACCATCAACTGCGATTTGCCTACACAGACGCGAACCCAAGTAACAGTTACTAATGCTAACGCGGCATGCACTAACGGCTTTGTAATCGATAATACGTATAAGTTTAAAGAAATTGCCAGTAACATAACTGATACCTACGGTAGGGGAAAGATTCATAAAATTTGCACTGATGTATCTCTTCAAAATACTAATTAGAGAACTTAAGCAAACCACGCCGGCATCGGCACCGAGAGCACCACCAAACAAAAGATTTATGAGTAGAACAATGGCCGTGCACGTGCGTTATAAGTCTTTGTACATTTCTTTGCCGTCCTCTGCACAACTACAACGTAAAATGACTGTGGAGAACGCAAACGACAGCTAATTTTTCGTATTTTCATTTGGAATTGATCACTGGCGTTACAGATTTAGCTTGAGCGAGTTTTGAGACCAAAAGGTGGGGTCGCCGTCGTCATTGCTTATGTACAGGAACACGCTCACTTCTCTGTCTTTCAACATCTGAGTAGATGCGTCGTTGTTCTCATATGTATTCTTTTTGAGGGAGCTATTTCACGTTTTCTGTTAAAAAGGTTTTATGATATCCACAATGATCATTAAATGAACGGTTCGATACAATCAAGTTTGCTTTTACTAAGATGCAAAAAAAACCCATAAACCTAAATAAACGCCATTTTTTCTTCAACAACTGTATCCCTGGCGTAAGCTCATCGAAATAAGGTTTTCACTAATATGCTACAACAAACTGGAACTACACGAAACGTTTCTTTAACAAACCATGCATATACTCTTTAGCTCGAGATTCTTCTCCTGCTTTACAAAAACATAGGCACGCAAGGCGTGCAAGAGTTATTTTTTTGTGAACTATAAGTCTCGGAGATAGGAGC